GAGAAAGAAGGATCCAGGAAACTACAGGCTAGTCAGTCCCACACCAATATTGGGGAAATTATAGAGCACAAAATAAAGACTTAACCTCTAGCAATCTTGAATACAAGGTGGTGATTGTGAGAAGTCAGGATGGATTTGTTAAGAACAGACTAATCTGCAGATTGTTCTCAGTTCTCTGTCACTTAATCCAATCTCTCTCTCAATCTCTCTCACAAAAAAAAAAAAAGGGAGGAAGTTTGACTAGACCATTGGCAAGTTCCTTCAGTACCCTAGGATACAATTCATCTGACCCTCGAGATTTAAACTCATTAAAAGTAATTAGGTATTCCCTGTCCATGTTTCTATTAAATTCTGTCTTCAATTCTGCTCATTAATCCTGCTCTTTTAGAACTGCCTTCTCCAAATAGAATTCTTCTTTCGTTTTGGAGAAGTCTGAACTAAAGTAGGAGTTGAATAGTTATATCTTTGTTGCCTATTAGCATTTTTGTTCTCTTCAGTGAGCACATGTTCCTCTCCCAGAATACTACTTTTAATTGTTCTGAGTTTATTAAAATCCCCCCCTTTTAAAATCCAGTACACTTCTTATATTACACAGTCACATGCTATTTCCCTTAAAATCAAGAGTCCCATCATTACATGGTCACTTTCTCTGCAGTATTCCTGCTATTTCATTTCCTCAGCTAAGCCTTGGGTATTAGTTGGTGCCAGGAATAGCTCATTCTCTTGTGCCATCCTCCATCCTGACAAGGAGAACATCGTCAGCAAGACGAATCCTAGAGAGCCATGCTTGGCAGAATTTGTCTCTCAACAGATGCCAGGATGATTAAACTCTCCCTCAATATTACTTCCTGTCTCTTTGAATAGCTCTGAGGCCTTCTCCAACACTCTTACGAATTGTGCTCTTCTGTTCTGGAGAAGTATGCAAAAAATGAAATGGCAATTGGCACAAAGCATGATCTTAAAGTCCAAATAAGCTATAGAAGTCAGCTTATCTTATGATGCTGTTGACAAAACATAATACTTAAAAAAGTGAAAATAAGCTCCTGCTGTCTTCATAAATGAACCTTACTGCAAGTTCCAAGCAGACCGTCCATGTGTGCTAATCATGCTGCTTCATATTCATTTTAGGGCAGACTGAAACTGAGCTGAATAATGAAGCCTGTTTGATGAGGCTATCCATTTATTCTAAAATGAATGCACACCTATACCAAAATGTATATTTTTGTATTAGGTTTGAGTTGTTTTGTCATTTATTTTATTTTAATTTAAGACACAATGTTTTATAAAGGGAAAGGAATAGCCAGATGCTTAACAGAGGCCCTCATAGTGTTCTGTTGCACCATTTAACTGTTTTGTAGGATGCTGCAGCAACCAGCAGTGCCTGGGAAACAGTTGCCCTGCAAACAACAGAATTATCCAGGTGTATAAAGTTTTCTTCCAGACAGTGGGGAGCATGAAGTTCTCTCTATTCCCTGCCCCTGCTTTCTAGGTGTGTACTTTTATCTTTAAAGAACATGTGAGAAATAATGCATAGAATACATTATTATGTAGCATAACTCTAGTCTGCTACATGGCTACTCCATGAAATGAAATAAGAATATTCTTAGATGTGTGTATATAAGTAATGAAGTGAGTGGTTAACAAGGAATGGGTGAGTGGGAGAAGAGCAAGACAAATCTATCTCCATACTGAAACTGTGGCTTACGTGTGTGCCACAAAGGAAAATTCATCTTGCATCAGAACATCTCAATGAGTATTTTCTCCACTATTCCCTTTATACATTATGATTCTCACAGCTTTTTATTACGCCTGAAAACAAATCATTTTCTATTCACTCACAGTCACAGGTAACCTAACATGCAGTACAACATCTCTAAGTCAATACCAGGAGGCAAAGGGAAGCTTCCAGCATGTCCACAGGAGTCTCTCTTATGTACAATCCTTTCCTGCAGTTGGATGAATGGCCACGAGGGGATGGCACTGAGGGAGTAGAATTTAGTCTGTGCCCCTCTTCCCCTTATGGAGTGAGTCAGAAGTAAAAACACAATTTATGGAAAAAGAACAAGTGGAAGAGTGGACATAACATAACTTTGGACATAACGTATTGATGGAACAGTGGGAAAATATGTGGTTAAAAGGATTGAAATTTACACTATGTTATAACTTAAAAGAGTATTTTTATAAGATGATGTGCTGCTGGTAAATGACACCAGAGAAATTGTCTAGAACATATAAAGGTACTTCAAATTTATGTTGGAAATGTGGACCACATGAAGGGTCATGTTATCATGCATGGTGGACTTTGGGTTGAAATACACACAATGACACAAAGAATTTTAAAGATCAACATCCAACTTAAACCAGAACTGTTTTTGCTGGGATTTATGGACAGACAATTAGAAAAGAGCCACAGAAGATTATTCTTATATAAGATTACTGCTGCAAGGCTATTATATGTGCTCCCTTATGGAGTGAATCAGAAAAAAAGCACAATTTATTATTTTTATTTCTGTGGTAGAATAGAAATTGTGCCCTGGAAAAGAAAAGAAAAGAAAAGAAAAGAAAAGAAAAGAAAAGAAAAGAAAAGAAAAGAAAAGAAAAGAAAAGAAAAGAAAAGAAAAGAAATGAAATCAGAACCGGAGTATACTTCATTAAAGAAAAATACGTCATTCAGACCTAAATATTCTTACCAGTCATAGAATATAAGGACACATTCTCTTATGGATCAGTGTCTCATTTAACAGATTGCTGATGTAAACAGAGAATGGGAAAAATTGTGAGATTCACTGTATTGGATCCAGAACTCTTCAATTTCTCCAACTAATGTATAGCCAAGTATCAAAATCTGCAGATTATTTGGATAGTGAAATACTAAATGATGAACACTAAAAGGATCTCATGAAACTGAATAAAAAACAGTAACATTTAAATAAACAACCCAATCATATGCATGTTTATTTAGAAGTCAACCCATTCATCAAGCAGAGTTTACTCACAAGTAAATTTGCATAGGATTGCAACATTAATGAAAGTGCAAATTTATGCTCATGTGGGACAAAATATTCTAACATTACATATTTTAACATCACTTATTCAAAAGTAGGCAACCTGGAGTTTTCCAGTTGTTTTGGAATGAATTCTCCAAACATTGGACATGCTGGTTGGGGATTCCTGGAGTTGTGGTCTAAAACATCTGGAGGGCATAGAATTATCTACATTTAAGATATTTATTAATGGATCTGGACTCAGATGGGTTAATCAGATGATCATTTTAGCTTACAGATAATCTGGTGACCAAAGTGAGATTCCCAGTGATGTGAACAATTTGAGATTGCTCCCATTCTATCTCCTCTCTCACCACCAAACGTAAAACTGATTTTAGAATCATTGTAGCCATTTCTTACTTTTATTTATAATATTAAAAAAGTTCAAGTGTTAAACAGTCAAGAGTTCTAACATCCAGACAATCCAGAGCAAAATTTTACAATCCTTTTTATGACAAAGCAGCAGCTTTTCTACTGGACCTTGTTAGGGGTTAGGAACAAAGGACTTAAAGTACTTTATTGCTAAAAAGTAAATGAATACACTGGCAACTGTATTTTGTCTTTTCAGTTCTAGGTTCTCCATGCATCCAATTTATAGTATCTGAAATGCAAAGGACATGCAAAGTGAAAATAGAGAAAGAAGGCAGGCCATAATGTTAAGAAGAGGCTCCGCAGGAAACTGAAAAGAAAGAGCCATTTTCTCTTGTTTCAGGGAAGTTTTCTTGCCACCTACACCCAGAAAGCTCTTTTAGCTCATCAACCAGGGTACCTGGTGGCTTTATTTTTAAATGGAAAGTTCTTGTGAAATGCTCAAATGTTACATTTACAACCATCTTTACAAAATGGAGCACACAACAGCATTTTCTTTGATGTTTCTTTCCATGGAAGAAGATTGAGGCAGGGTTAGCATGCTGGTGGCACTATCTCAGGAGAAGGGACAAGGAGGGAGGGAGGGAAGGACTGAGGTGGCATACTTCAGAGACATCTAGTTCACTGCAGGCTTCTGAAACCCTTCCTCAACAGCACCTTGTATGTCCTGGATGTTCCATGATGGGGGATCATGTTTCTTTTATGATCAAATAGTGGTGAGAATTTGGAGGACATTTTTGTTCTGTGCAAGCACAGGAGTGGCTTATATCATTACCAAAGAGTTAAAGTTTGTCTCAAGATACAGTGTCAAGACAGATTTTAGGAGCAGCATCACTTGAACTAGTATTATTTAACCACATTCATTTGAAATGTTTGGTTTCGGGGGGTGGGGTATCTTGTTTACAGATCTGTCGAGGATCAGAGGTACATTGGAAGGGTTGTTGATACTCTGTACTTCTGTTTCCTTTCTTCTCCACCCCCTCCCTTTTTGTTTGTTTGTTTATTGATTATCTTATAGTAGAAACCAACTTTCACTTACCAGTATGTAACATTTCCCCTGATAGGGAAAAATATTTATGAAAACATTGAATCATATGTCATACATGTCTATGCGCACATGCGCAAGAGGGAAAGGAAATGGGAGAGACAGAGAGCACATTACTTAGCAACACTAGATTATCAATCTCTAGTTATCAAGGAATTTAAAAGGGTGCTGTTCAAATGGAAAAGTGCTGACTGAATTATTATTATATAACAAATTGTCCTGAACATAAAGCCTGTGTTTCAAGAATGCTTAAACATAATATTCAGTGTGGACTCTGGCATTCACATACAGCAAAAGGCACCACAATATTTTTTAATGATTTGTAGTCAAAAATTGGCCCATCTTTTAAAATGTTTTTGTTAGTTTCTGTTTTTCTGAGAAGCTGTAAATCAAGATGTTACATATAAATAGATTCCTTACAAAAAGGTCTTTGCCATTAGCTCTTATAAGACATCATTGCTAAAATGAAAATAAAACATTTCATTTGTTATATTTTTGCATTTTTTTATATAAAATAAAAATTTGTCTTTTCTGCCGTACTGTCTTCCTCAGTACTGATGTGTTCATGGAAGTGGGCATGAGGAAGAGTGTGTAACACCTAAGGAGGTGCAGAATCTTGGCTGGATCTGGTGTGTGTTTGTTGGCTTTCACCCTGTGCGTTGAATCTGCTGAAAGAAGAGGAAGTTCTGTTGTCAGCTGAGCGATACAAATCTGTGTCCGTGGCCTCCATGTTCCGACTGCTTAAGAAAGGGGTGCTCTCAGCTATCAGCTCCTCGTCGGACTCACTGTATGAGGCGCTGCTTACTGAAAAGGAGTCCCTAAGCATTCTGCCTCTGTGAGACAGGTGGCCGTTCAGTTTAGATCTCCTCCACCGCCTGCTGCTGCTGCCTGCTCTCTTTGGCTGTTCTAGTGCAGTGATGTACTCGTGGGTTGTCTCATATTCGTCATCCTCTGTGATGCGGAAGGGGCTGGAGGGCAAGCTCCCTGTGCTCTCATTCAGATAGTTCCTTCTTTGGTAGTAAGTATCGTACCTCTGGGAATCCTGGCAAGAGGTCTGGTACCTTCTCAGCAATGGCTGTTGCTCCTCCACTTGGAAATTAAGGGATGCAGCCGGGGGGAGTGAGACCGCATGAGCAGAATTAGGAGAGGTGATTTCAAAGGTGGGCATGTGGGCTGAAGCTGAGCAGTGGAAGTCAACAGGGGACAGGCGTGCTGGGGTGGTCAAGGCAGACACGTACCTAGAAGAAGAAAGGATGGCATTGGTATCCAGCTTAAATCTTAGAAAGAAGTATCTGAGTCCTTGGCCACTGATGTTTCCATTCCTGCAAACTATTTGGTCATGATGAGATAAAAAGAAAAGGGGGTTTTCTCTGAGCCTGAAGTAGGTCCACAGAGTAGAGTATGATTTCTGTAATAAGAGAAAGGGGGGAATTTGGCAAGCATTTCTAAAGATCAGATGGAGGTTTTTCAGTCTAGGATAAGTGATGGCAAGATTTTGGAAAGAAGCAAAAACATCCAGGGTTAAAGAAGAAATAAATAAGAAATATTAGGGTTAATTAATAAAATGCCTGACTTATTCATGGAGCCAATTCATAATTTAAATTTGGTATATGGCAATTTTAAAAAATCTGATACACTGAAGTATCGGAAAATGGGAGAGTTTTGCATATCTTTTCAATAGGGGAGGCAAAGTGTAATGTAAAATAGTTAGAAAAGCTTCATACCACATAGAAAATTGAAACTGGATTCTTAAACAGTCCAAGATATTCCCATTACTGGAGGAAAAAAATCTGAAAATAGTGCTTTTATATAAAATAGTCAAAAGATGGCAATTAATTTTTATCCCAGAATAATGATGCTGACTTCTGTTGCCCTCTGAAAACAATGAATCACCTTCTGAGTCCAGTAGCTCTTACTTCCAAATAGGAGTTGATCCTCAGTATGGTTTCTCTTGGGATGAATTAGCTACAGTACTAAATATGCCAGAACTTAGGTCCAGGGAAACAGATGCCTCACCTGCCATTATCAGGGTATAATGAATGTTCGCTAGTCTTGGACAAAGTACACATCAAAGGTTTAACTGGGGAGATTCATAACATAAAGTTTGAGTTCTCCTTCTTCCTCTTCTCTTTTTCTGTATGCTTATTAATGTTTATAAGTAGTGTTATAAATTAAATTAAATTATAAATTAAATTAACACTACTTATAAGTTAACCATGATCATGTTAATTTTTTGTTTTTTCTTGTTCTGTTCTCATTATATTTTGATGCTGATCAATGATCATAGATAAAATTATCTATTCTCTCTATCTCCCTCTGACCTGGAATATTTATATATGTGTTTTTGTTTACTTGGGATACAGGCTATGCAGCTACCTTCTTATCAGTTTCTATTATTCATAATTACTTTTTATGGCAGTCTTCCTTGTAACATGGAATAGTATTTTTATTTACAGTCATTGACCAGTCATAAATATAACAAGGGCAAGATAGAACACCCCTCCCCAAAAAACAGTAAAATCAAAATTAAAACAGCTTCAATAAAGGAAAAGAGAAAATTACATTAATTTATCTCTAATGCTTGCCTGCTATGAAGAACAAAAGCTATCACTTGTTATCAGAGTAACCAGGCAGGTTGGGTTAAACATCCATTTCAACCAGTAACTAAAAATAGCAACCCAGATCTGGGCCTCTGCCCTCATGACTCTCAAATCCAGCCTTAAAGCTACATTAGGATTGCATTGGGGACTTGCAAAATTGCTCTCAAAACTGTTGATGGTACCTTCTGTGCTGAAACACAGTTTGAATAAGGACCCATTTGCACAATGTACAATAACTGCACCATTATTTCTGCTCAAACAGTTTCAAAGTGATAGGGATATAATGCCCTCCCTTGGAGCATAAAAAGGTTAAAATAGCCACAGCATATATCTGCACCACTTGTGTTACACAATCTAAATACACATTTCTCCACCCAGATGAACATAACATTATCCCTAAGTCATTAGGAATAGGATATTATATAAGTTGTTTGTTGAAGTAAAAATACCAAATCATTAAAGTAGATTTTTACTACTTATTATTAGATTAGATGACTAACACTTGGCATTAATAAAGGTACATCATTGGACCACTTAAGTATTTTACAAGATTACATGCATTGATCTTTGACAAACCTTGCCAATGCATATATGCCATTTTCACATAAATGCAAGTTGTTTTGATACCAGGAGTATGTCCTGGTATCAAAGTCAATGCAAGCATCTATTTCAGACTATACTCCACTGAAGCTTATCGTTTTATTTCATAATAGTATTGATACTGTTTTGAATATATCACTGTAGTACAATCATGAATTTATTAAATGGATAGAACATTTTTTGTTTGCATCACTATTGTGATGTTTGTCCCTATTTGAATTAGATTATTTTATATACTGGGCCTTATATTTATATAATATTTTTAACAGAGGAGTGAAAAATAGGACTTTTGAGAAATCTGGTTCAATTTTCTAGAATTGTTCAGCGTATGATACAAGTTTCTGGGCACATTTTGTTCTTTTCTTTTCCTTTTAATTTTATATTATAAATTGATTCTTTATAGTCTTAATTGATGCTTTACCAACATTTGTGTAATATTAAAAAAATAATTTGATGTTTGTATTTTTTGTTTGCACCACTATGTTGTTAACATCATTGCTGCCTGTTTCTTTAATAAAACATAACAATAATAAAAAGAACCTGAGGTTCTTTTTGGATTCAGGATGAAGAAGGCTGATCCACAATTTCAGGGATTTTTTTTTTTCCCTGACCAATTGTACATATTTGAATTATTTATTTATTTATTTATTTATTTATTTATTTATTTTTGTGCAAGCATCATCATGCTCTTGTTATGCTCTTATGCCATGCTGGCAGGTAGGGAAGGGGTGGGAGAGAGACATAGAAGGAGACAAGGAGATTTCAATTAGAGAATAACTTTACTAGAATCTCCTTTTCCTTTTCACTTCTAATCATTTCAGAAGGGCAATACAAAGAACCTGATAGAAACTATTTCACTGGTGTTTTTGTCTGGTAGCAGGAGGAATATTTTCTTGGCCAATTCTTTTCTTGCCCAGTCTTTGTGGTTTGATTATGTCTAAATCAAAATCTGCACTAACTCACTAGATCCCCACTATAGTGAAACATTTTTGCAATAATAGGTGTTTTACTAGAAAAGCAGCTGGGCAAGAAAAGAATTGGTCAATAAAATTAATCTGCAATGGAGAAAGGCATTCTCAGACCTAATTGTGAGTAGACCTGCATATACATAACTTTTAAGGTGAATGAAAAGAGAATTTGCTAAGCTAAAATAGAAAGGAATGGACTTGGACTTAAGGAAAATTCTAGGAACTGGCCTCTTATTAAATTTACACCCCCTTAATGATTGAATTATATATTACAGGAAGATTTAGCATCCATTTAAGCAGTTCTACAAAGGTAAAAATGAGTTTATTATTTTTTTATTCTTTACTATATCAATTTATATAGCCTCCCATCTCACAACTGTAACTTTGGGTAGTGCACATAGTGTTAAAACCAGACAAACATACATGATAATAAATATAAGTAAAGTAACAGTGGGCAAAAACAAGCCCAACTCCAATCATAAAAAAGGCAAACTTACAGTGACAAGCTCATTTAAAACATACACCTGAGGGAATATCCAAGTTTTTAAGGGCTTCCGAAATGCTAATGCATCTGGACTTTTAATGATTACATATCAATCTGTCATTGAGTGAAGGAGAAATGCCTTCTGGTTCCCTTACTTTTAAAAATGTATATTAATTGTATTTTCTTGCTTGTTTGCTATGGGATTCTTTCATCTTCCATTGCATTTTCAAACATTTTTTTGTTGTTATGTGCCAGTGATCTGAGTCATCTGTCGCTGACAAAAGTTGTATTGAAAAGAACATAATTTAGGATTTTACTAAAAGAAAAGCTTAAGTACTGCAAAGAAGAAAAAAAATATCAACTATGCTAAGCAATGAAATGACACTTTTTGGAAAACTGCCCAAGTGGTCTGACTGAGGATCTATTTCAGAGCAATGGAAACCATTTTAATATAGGGGCATTTGTTCTTATCAGACATGTCAATATACTGTTGCAGATCATGTTAAGTGGTTGCAGCAAATATATTGGGGATCTGCTTTATAATTCTACCACAAGATTTATTTTAAACATTAGTTCTATATAATTTCCAGAATCTGGATGAAGCTATTAGATTTCTGCTATACACAGCATCTGAGATAAAATCTTCCTTCAGAAAATAATAATAATTTAGCAAATCATTTTATTTATTTATTTATTTATTTATTTAGAAAGCCACCCATCTCCCAAAAGTGACTCTGTGTGGCATGCAAGGGTTAAAACCACCACCACCACAACAGTTAACAAAAACCAAGCAATTTAAGCAGAGCATTTCTAATAATCATTTGGAGACAGATCCTCAAGAGGCTGAGGAAATTAGCTCAATCAGATCTGAACTAAGGGCTTTCTGATTCATAGTTCAATTTATCTACTATGTTATATAAGCTTACAACCTGTGCTTATCCTTCTTCTTGATTAACTATCTCTTATTTCCTTCTCTCCCCTCCTTGTCTTATGCTCTGTTAGAGACTGATCACTGTGTGTGACTTCAGTGTTAAAGCAGTGAAACGGTGCTTTAACAGGCCATTTTAGGGTGCTGTTACTCTTGAAGACCGAAACTATGTCATTTACGTCAATTTATGTCATTTGCATGATTAAGAAAGTACATAAATACATAAAGAGCCAGCTTGGTCTAGCGGTTAAGGCTCCAGGCTAGAAATCAGGAGACTCTGAGTTCTAGTCCCACCTGAGGCAGGAAAGCCAGCTGGGTGACTTTGGGCCTGTCTCTCTCTCTCAGCCCCACACACCGCACAGGGTTGTTGTTGGGGACAAAATAGGAAGCGGAAGGAGTGTTAAGTATGTTTGCCGCCTTGAGTTATTTATAAAAAAAATAAGACAGGCAGGATAAAAAAGAAATCTAGTAAATAAATAAATAAATAAATGGCATATGCTGTTGTAAAACTAAGATAAAAATCACATAAATGTCACTGCCTCATTCCAACTACTTTGGAGGCAGAGGGAAATATCCAGGTGAAAATCTGACCTTATTGCATCCAAAATCTGCTAAATGGGGGGACTGTTCAGTTGAGGTTTCACTGTATAAATGATAAGAACAGCAACAGAAAATGAGACCTCTCACTATGTGGTGAGTCTCGAAGGGAATCCACAGAATCTCTGTATTGCATCATTGGCCTCCTCTGCTCTTCGACGGAATAGCAAGCTTCCCGCCGGGCATGGGCTTCCATACAGGCAGGACTGTTGCACTTGCTGGTTCCCACAGAAGACAACATCATCCCAGACTGGCAATCGGAAGTGAGGCTTTCTGTGCGGTCCAGGCTCCAGGTGTGGCTTTCGTGTCTGCAAGCCAAGCCAAAGGATGAAGAACTATTGGACAAGGGTAGAAACAGATCTTTCCTAAACTTCCTAAAGTGGACCTGCCTTTCCAAGCAAAGTTCCTAAGTCACACTTGTAAGGCTTATGAAATGTGTCTAAAATTGTAAGTAATTGTATAGTGTTTTTAATCATAATAATTACAGTGAATGTAAATATGCATGATGGCAATCAAAGATGAACATTATGGAGGTCAAAAATATTATACCACTTTCTGGATATGGTGACTATAACCATCACAGAGTCAAAGAATGGGAAGGGACTTGAGGCTATCAAATTCAACCTCTTGGTCAGTACAGGAATTCATATTAAAACAGTATTACTGTTGTTGTTATTATTTTTATTTAGATTTATTATAGCTGCCACACTCCAAAAGACTCTGGGTGGCTTACAACATCCAAAATACTACTGAAAACAATGAAAAACATAACAACAGAGAGTAACAGGAGACAGCAGCCTGGAGAAAAACAACCATGCCAATGAACCATGACAGGGACTCCACAGGCACACTACCCCCAGTTCTGAGAACCTTGCCAGGTCTTAAGGGCCTTCCAGAATGCCAGGAGAGTGAGATCCATACACATCTCTGGGGGGATGGGATTCCAGAGGGCAGGGGCTACCACAGAGAAGGCACACTTCCTCAGTTCTACAAGATGACAATGTTCAGTTGGGGGGACCTGGAGCACACCAACTCTGCCTGAACGTACGGGGTGGGCAGAATTGATTGCAGATGGGTGGTCCTAGAGATACCATCCCCAACAGATGGTTATCTAGCCTTTGTTTGAACACATCCAGTGAACTAACATGTTTTGCTCTTTGTAACTATCACTCAAGTTCATGTGTTTGGAAGCGTTTATTTAAAAGCATTATTGAAAACAGTAGTTAACGAATCCTCCACTTTTTCACAAACACTGCTTAAGATGTCTATATATCAAGCTACTCAGATAATTGCTTATTATATTCTATTATAAAATAAACAGCAGTACAGAAAGGTTCATTTAGCAAGGGCCAGTGGCACAGCTAGCTCATTTTAGACCTTTCTAAATTTCTTATGGAGACCTGTCTCTGGACTTAATGACTTCATGGACTTCAAGAGCTCACCAGTACCAAGGCCAGCTCAGGCTGTGGCAATTGAGGTTGAGTAACAGAAAGGGAAGAGGTGGCCTGATCTCCTCCTAGGCTTATCCCAACTGGGTTGCAAAATACTGTACAAGCATTAGAAGGCAGCAAAGTTGTACTTTTCTGTACTTTCTTGCTACCAAGGGTTCCTCATATCGCTTGACTGCTAAAGTTAAACTGCTGCAGTGCTTTAGTGCTTGTATCTTTCAATGTGATCTTTCAAGACAATAATTTTGTCTTATTTTTATTTTTGCTTTTCAATCTTTCAAGACAATAATTTTGTCTTATTTTTATTTTTGCTTTTAGTGCTGCCTGGTGCATTCTGCAAGTGAAAGGGCTGATACAGATAAAATTAAAATAAGTTGAAATAATGAATTAATTGGGAGATTTGGGAGGCCCAAGTATTAAGAACTTCCTTAATGCCATTTACAGAAGAGGTTTTGTGCATTGCCTTTCAAATGGTTCCTTGATCATATCTATCCAGAAGGAGATAAAAAGAAATCTGAGCTATGAAACACTCTGTCCATACCTTTGGCTTGAAGTTGGAGTTCCTGTGGAAGAGGGATGTGATGGTGAACAGGAATGGCTCCCTGAAAAGGTGGTCTCTATTTCTCTTCTTATGACATGCTCAGTAGCAGGAACATTTTTAGACATATACTGGGAAAAAAGTCACAAGTTCATAGATATTAATTTTGGGATGACAACATTGCTGTATTTATAGGATTCTTATAAATCATAGTAGCTTATGTTTCCATTTTTGGAGGATAAGAATAAGGTTACCCTATATATATTTGACATTCCTCCTTCACTTTTGGAGCTTCACTGCTCAGGGCTGCTTCAATGTTTTCTTCTAAACACTAATGGCCTCATAACAGTGAGTAGACATTCTCATTTGGACTGCAGTATAGCAAAATAATAACAAAACTCAAAATCTCAAATAAGTACTTAAGCATTCATGATCAACGCAGGCAACTTGAGACAATTCTGGGTAGTTAGGGTAAAGCCATCCCAAAATACCAAGGGTGTCTTTAAAGCCTGCCAAAATCTCAGGAAGCAATTTGACTCCACCAACTAGACACCACACAAAAAAGTGCATTCCAATGCAGTTGTGGCAGCTGAAGCTAATACTACTGTTTTTAATTTCTTGACTAATTTCTATTCAGCCTTTTCAAGGAAGGTAAAGGACTTAAGCAGCTTATAATACAAACCAATACAGTTAAATATCTCTCCCAAAATTGAAACTCAAAAGGTATGGAATAAAAGTGAATTCTGCCAACACTGAAATAATTTATTTATCCAAAGACTTCTAAACACATAAATAACTTAATGTTCAACTGAAGACAGAAAAGGAGCCTTGGCAGGGCTTCTAAATGTTATCTTGCTGAAATATCATTTGAAAAAGAGAAGGGAAAGAGGAAGATGGGGAAAAGGTCATTAATTAGCCTCTAGACATTAATTTTCTTTTCTTATTTGTACTTGTCACATTCTCCTTCTCTGGAAGGAGGAAAACAAGTGAACAATGAGACAAACAGGAATTTGGTAAGGAAGGTCAAGGGACACGTATTCTTCCCTTCCCTTCCCTTCCCTTCCCTTCCCTTCCCTTCCCTTCCCTTCCCTTCCCTTCCCTTCCCTTCCCTTCCCTTCCCTTCCCTTCCCTTCCCTTCCCTTCCCTTCCCTTCCCTTCCCTTCCCTTCCCTTCCCTTCCCTTCCCTTCCCTTCCCTTCCCTTCCCTTCCCTTCCCTTCCCTTCCCTTCCCTTCCCTTCCCTTCCCTTCCCTTCCCTTCCCTTCCCTTCCCTTCCCTTCCCTTCCCTTCCCTTCCCTTCCCTTCCCTTCCCTTCCCTTCCCTTCCCTTCTGTGGTTTAATGCGTACCTTTTAATGTGGTTTTGTCTTATTTTTATTTTTTATCTTCTTTCTGCCTGAAGAAAAACTACACCTGCTCAAAGTTCAAGCTTGTCTAATTGAAATAGAAAGTGAAGGATCCTGAGGAGAGTTTCCACAGACCCAATAAAATCGTTGGAAGTTTGCACCTCATATGAAGAAAAAATATGTTTTCAAATACAATAAATTCAGGAATTGGAACACTGAAATCCTGTTTAAAGGGTAGGATTAGAATAAAATGAATGAGATTAAAAATTGTGGGAGCTTGTGATAAACCATCTGGGCAGGCATAAGATAAAGAAGCTTTTCTTTGGCAGATGACCAGCCTTTCAAGCATAATAATAATGGGATTATTATCCTGACATTTGCTGGGAATCTAACTTTCCTCTGAGTCAGAGCCCTACATACTTTTGTCCTCTCTTGCTGGTAACTTCACTGATCAGAAGATGAAAAAAAAGAACAAGGGGATCTGCTGCCCTGGACCTAAGCCTCACCAACAGGGAGGAGATGATTGAAGAAGTGAAGGTGACTGGCATCTTGGGGAAACGTGTTCATGTTATCCTTAAATTCATGTTATCCAAGTAGGGAGGAACTAAAGAAAAATCCAGAACAGATTCTGTTGTGGATTCTGATAAACTCTAGGGGAAGGTAGATTGGATCTAGTAGCTTGAAATCCTGACACTAGGAAGGATGGGAAATCTTACAAAACAAGATACTGAAAGCTCAATGGCAAATCATTCTCACAAGCAGGAAAAACAGGAGAAATCTAAGGAGGCTAGTATGGATAAACAGAGAGCTCTTCAAAATGCTGAAAAGATAAAAGGGATATGCATGGGAAATGAAAAGAGGTGCGCATGAGTAAAAAAAGAATATTCGGTAGCTTCTAGAAACTGTAGGTATTTTGTCAGGAAAGCTAATGGTAAGAGTAGTCTGAGGCTTGCAAGAGATGCCAAAAACAACAAAAGACAGTTCTTTGGATATGTTAGAAATAAAGGGAAGTCAAAGATGGTTTAGGTCCATTGTGAGTAGGAAGTAGTGAAGCAATAATAGGGTATGGTGAAAAGGCAGAACTTCTGAACTTCTTTAGTGTCTCAGAAGGAGAATGGAGCCTTAGCAGGAAGAGTCAAGGAGAGAGTAAGAGAGCCAATTAAACAAATTCAAGTCTCCATGGCCAGATGGATTACATCCCAGGGGTACTGAAATACTTGCAGGGGTAATTACAAAACTGCCACTAGAACTCTATCAGGATGGTGAGGAGTGTGCTAACTAAGCCCTACAAAGAACAGTTAAAAGGTCACCCTATGTTTACCCTCCAGAAGATACATGGGAGGTGTGTTGGAAAACCTGAAACATCTGAAGGGTTGTCACATAGAAGAGGGAGTGGACTTAACCTCTGTGGATTCAGAAGGCAGGCCCAGAAGCATGGATTACAATTACAGGAAATAGGTTCAGACTAGACATCAGGAGGAACTGCCTGAGTGTACCAGCTGTCAGACAGTGGAACTGGTTGCCACATAAAGTGCTAAATTCTTTGTTGGAGGTCTTGAAAGAGGCTGGATGGTTGTCTGTTAGAGATACTCTAGTGGATCCTGCACTGAATAGGGGGCTGGACTAGAGGATATCTAGGGTCCCTTATAATTCTGATTCTGTGATTCTAAGTAACTTCCTAGAACTTTAGGGAAACACAAATGGCCTTGCTCTATTGCATCGTTACAGTTATTGGACTTACTGCAGTTTAAATGCAGTCCCTTGTCAGCCCTCCCAGGTAAACCAGACAGGAAACAAGACTAGATGAACTAATTCTACTTCATTGTAAGCCTACCTTAACAGAATCTTGCAAGTCTGAAAGCACAAATCTCCTGCCCTCCCTATTTACTGCCTGAGTAGTTAGGGCAGGTCTTTCCTAAGTTTCTTTCTTTGACCATTACCCTGTTGCGGACTCTTTTCTCATTTATCTGATCATTGCCTAGGTAGCATCTCTTTCCCCTGTCTTCCAAGGTCACCCTCACATTCCATCACTTCACCCTCCCCTTCAGCTTCATCCCCCCTCCCGAGTTCCCAGGGGAAACAGGCTGTGGACTGTGAGAATGAATGCAGCTACATTGCCCTCCTTTTCTTCCAGTAACTCCCCAAGATCACACAAGGCTTCCTGAAAACCATCTGCTTTGGTTGAGTGACAGCCACCCTTCCCTCGGGAATCTGTTGGCCTCCCCCCCTCCGGTCTTGCATGCCTGATGTGGAAGGAGCTGAGTCATTTCCCCCTCCTCGGTCTCTTGCTATTCCTGAGGCCCCCTCCACCCCACAGAAAAACTCTTCCTGCTCGTCTTGGTCAGTGCCTGACTCCTGCAAGGCCAGTAGTTGCCGAGGATGGGGTTTGCTGGGGTACTGGTTGTGAAAGTGGTGAACCAATTGTGGTGTGTGCACACCCGTTGCTACCTCCCACGATCTTTCTGACTGTGGGTAGCCTTTCGCATGTAAAGTATTCAACCCACTACCCTCTGCGTCTAGAGTCTAACACCTCTTCCACCTCGTATTCTTCTTCCCTGTTTACTAGAATGGGAGGGGGCTGCTGTCTGTGAATGTAGAGTGCCGGGGGGAGGGCTTCCTTTACAAGCAAAGACTGATGGAACACAGGGTGAATCTTCACTGATGTCAGCAACTGCAATCGAAAGGCCACTGAGTTAATTTGCTTAATTATGGGAAAGGGCCAATAAATTTTGAGTCCAGCTTCTTGGAAGGTCTCATGGAAGTTAGAAATTTTGTAGAAAGAAATTTTGTAGAAAGCCACACCAAATCCCCTTCTGCAATTCTAGTTCCCTCTTGCCTATGTGCACCTGTTGCTTTTTTGTACATGGTCTTTGCTAGTTTGAGCTGTTCCTTTAAGAGGCTTTGCGTTGCTTGTCTCTCTCACAGGAAATCTGGCACATGGGATGGAGCTTTCTTGTCTGGTTGTTGGTAAGACCCATGGGTGGAACCCATAAGTTGCCTGGAAGGGTGATATGCCGATCGATGAGTGTGCTGCATTGTTGTAAGAAAACTCAGCAAGAGGTATGAGATCATTCCAGTTATCTTGCTGTAAAAAATATAGCATCTTAAATATTGCTGTAATGGTTAATTTTCTCAGCTTCTCCATTTGCCTCCAGATGGTGCAGGGAACACAAATTAATTTTAATATTTAATAATTGCAAGAGGGCCCTCCAAAATTTGGAAGTGAATTGACTTCCTCTGTCTGTCACAATATGACTAACCAATCCTCTGTGTCTAAAGACGTGGTCCAAGAAGAGCTGAGCTGTTTCCTGGGCCACTGGGAGACCCTTGCAAGGAATAAAATGGGCTAATGGTTGCAACAGTCCTGCTGGCTTACTAAGGACTGGTTTTGCTCTATGACAGACATGGCAAGAAAAACATAATCTTTAATGTTAGAGTGAGCTCCTGGCCACCAAAATTCTCTGAAAAGGACTACTCATGTCCTTCTTTCATTCTGATTAGGTTGTAAGCACTTCTCAAGTCTAGTTTGGTAAAGATACATGCCTTGTATAGCTGGTCTAGTAGATTGGAGATAAGCAGAAGTGGATAATGGTCTCTAATTGTCACTTTGTTCAGGTCTTTGTAGTCATGAATAGTATGCATGTGGGATCCCTCCTTTCCCTTCAAAGTGGATGCTGCTTCGCCCTCTAGTTTTTTCACATTCGCCCTCACATTTTTCAAAAAAATGTGGATGCAGATGCTGGTGAATTGGAAGGGCGAATAAACCCTTTTTTGATGTTGACATCCAGGTATTCCTTGAGGATGGCTAGCTCGCATGTAGACATGGGATACTGCCTCTTTGCTGGGATTTCGGCCCCTGATTTCAAGTTGATGGTGCAATCACATGGTTGGTGTGGGGGTAAGATAGTTGCCTTTTCCTTCCCACACACATCTGCATAGTCTGCATATTTTTCTGGCAGCGCTGACCCCCCTTATCCTACAATGGAGTGGGGTGGTTAGCTTTCACTGCTTCTAAGCGATGTTGTTGGCATTTAGAGGATTGAAATGAGAGTGCCCCTTCTCCCAACTTATCACTGGGTCATGCATCTGAAGCCATTCTATACCCAAGATTATGGGCATTTGCAAGGAGGCAGTTACATTGAGTGTTATGAACTCTGTGTGATCTTTGATTGTCAATTGCAAAGGAACTGTGCGCTGCAGAATCAGTTCTGCCCTTAGTGGTTGACAGTCAATAGTCTTGACTATCATTGGGTTTTCTAGAGCTTGGGTTGGCAACTTTAGCTTCTGTACTGTTTCTATATTTATGAAGTTAGCAGTTGCCCCAGAGTCTATGAGAGCAGAAAGCTCCACCGTCTGCCTGGAATCTAAAGAAATAATAACAGGAGTAATCTGATATGCTTGCCTTTTGTCAGCTGTCAGAGCTTTCCTCAAAGAGTTGATGGCCCCCCTGAAGAGCTCCTGGGACAGAGGCTGGTGAAGTTTCCCTGGGGTACTGTTCAACAGAGCACTGGGCAATTGCTGGATTCGTGTTCTGTTGACTTACAAGTTTTGCATCTTATTGCTGTAACAGCTGCTGGTGCTTTTATTGGGCACAATCTTGCTATGTCCGGGGGTCCCACAGTAAAAGCTTAGCCCCTGATGCCTTCTTCTTTGCTTCTCTCCTGATGACAGGGTTCTCTTGGCCGCACTGATTTGCACTGGCTCTCTTGTAAATCGGGAGGAGTGGTATGGGGAAAGACAGATTGTAGGATCTCTTCTCCCTCCCATTCCTTCCCTGCCTCAACTCTTCCAGTCAGGCATCTATAATTACACAACGCTGATATAGCTCATCCAGGTCATTTGGAGTGCCTTGTCTCACCAGCTTGTCCTTTAGTTCATCACTCAGACCTTCCCTGAACTGATCAGTTAGAGCTAAGTTGTTTCACCCTACATCGCCAGCAAGTAATTTAAAGTCCAAACTATACACCCTTCCTCTTCTCTGTCCTGCTTGAGCTTCTGGATCTTTCGACTAGCTGTGATTCTCTGTATGGGATCCCCAAAGTGTCCTTTGAGCTTACGCATGAAGTCTTGACAGTTGTCCAGCACCAGATCATTCCCCTCAGTAAACAGTATTGCCCACTTAGCTGCTGCTTTCTTCAGCAAGCTCAGCACCAAAGTCACTTTGGTGCAATCAATGGGAAATTCCACTGGTCTGCCTGCCATAAACATCTCACCCTGAGTGATGAATGTCTGGAATTGATCCTGGTCCCCTCTGAACTTCTCCAGCAAGCTGCCATGGGGACGCAAGAGCATTGGCTGGGCTGCCATCAGTTGTGCTGTTGCAGGCTGAGGTAAATTCTGCCCCAGTTGCTGCAATAGTTGTAGCATGGCATTCTGTAAATTGGTCATTTGTGCATCTACTTGTTGCTGGTGTGGATAGATATTCTGCAGATAGCAGGGTACCTTGAGGATCGGAGGCCATTCTCAAAATTTCTCTCTTTAGAAGAGAGTAGGAGACTTGCAAGATTGATGTCAGCCCTCCCAGGTAAACCAGACAGGAAACAAGACTAGATGAACTAATTCTACCTTGTGGTAAAGCTACATTAACAGAATCTTGCAAGTCTGAAAGCACAAATCTCCCACCCTCCCTATTTACTGCCTGAGTAGTTAGGGTGGGTCTTTCCTAAGGTTCTTTCTTTGACTGTTACCCTCTTGAGGACTCCTTTCTCTTTTGTCTGATCGCTCCCTAGGTGGCATCTCTTTCCCCCATCTTCCAAGGCCACCTTCACATTCCATCATGCCCTTTACTGGTGGTCCTCACTTAACGACCACTCGTTCAGCGACTGTTCATACAGTGGAACCTCGAGTTACGAATTTAATCCATTCCGTGACTCTGGTTGCAACTCGAATTGGTCACAACACGAGGCAAATTTTCCCATAAGGTTCAATATAATTACCGTTAATCCGTTCTGGCATCCGCGGACCATGCATCAGGGGCGGAAAAATGGCTGCGGACCATGTGGCATGGGCAGAAAAATGGCCGCGGACCACGTGTCAGGGGCGGAAAAATGGCCACGGACCATGTGGAACATGCGGAAAATGGCCGTGGACTACGTGGCACGGGCGGGAAAATGGCCGCAGACCACGTGGAACGGGTGGAAAATGGCCGCGGACCACGTGGAACGGGCGGAAAATGGCCACGGACCACGTGGCACGGATGGAAAAATGGCCGCGGACCACGTGGAACGGGTGGAAAATGGCCGCGGACCACGTGGAACGGGCGGAAAATGGCCACGGACCACGTGGCACGGATGGAAAAATGGCCGCGGACCACGTGGAACGGGTGGAAAATGGCCGCGGACCACGTGGAACGGGCGGAAAATGGCCACGGACCACGTGGCACGGATGGAAAAATGGCCGCGGACCACGTGGAACGGGTGGAAAATGGCCGCGGATCCGGTTTGTAAGTCGAGGCGAGTTCGCAAGTCGAGGTAAATTTTTGGGGCCGGAGCTGGTCGTATCTCGAAAAATTCATAAGGAGGGGCGTTCGTAACTAGAGGTACCACTGTACTTACAATGGTGCTGAACGAATCGTACTTATGACTGGTCCTCGTACTTATGACAGTTGCAGCATTCCCATGGTTACGTGATTATGAGCTGGACACGTGGCACCCAGCTCACAGTTACAATATCACAGCATCCCATAGTCACATGATCACCATTTGCAACCTTCTTTGCCCACTTCCTACAAGCAAAGTAATTGGGAAATGTTGGCAGAAGGTTGCAAATGGGGACTGCATGATGTCACACTTAACAACATTGTGGGATTCACTTAATGATGGCAACTGGAAGTGCCGGAATTTCTGTTCATAAGTCATGTGATGTTGCGCTTTACAACCATGTTGCTTAGCAATGGAAATTCTGGTCCCAATTACCATCATTAAGTGAGGACTACCTTTATTTAATAGAAGTCAAAATGTGACTCGGCTTTTAAGATTATGCTTCAGTGTCTGCCATGGAGTAGATCTCAGGCCAAATGGGCTGGGTTTCCTGACAGCTCTATGCCTTGGCTTGTGTGTCCTGGAACCTCTACAGTAGTTTGCAAATATTGTTGCTTCCTTGCTGAACCAATTATAGTCTATAATTACTGCATACCCAGGAAACTTCGATGTCCTAAACATTAGACTCCATCAAAAACCAATTCTGGAACAATTCTTATAAGCTGGGGGTTTATCTTATATTCTGGTTCAGGCAGAATTCAGTTCCATCCCTTCCAAAGAAGTATGTAAGGGAGAGGAGATCATACAAAAAGAAGTGTGGAAAAATGCAATGGGTGAGTAAGCGGCCATTTATGTGGAGGTTTGTGGAAGAGGGAAAGGCATCACAGATCAGTGGTAGTGTCACAAGGGCCAGCTATTCCAACACTCTGAAGGGATATGGCTATATTGTATAGTTGGCTTTTTTTTTTTTTTGTCCATTCAATCGTGTCCGATGCTTAGAGACTGCCTGGACAAGTCCCTGCAGTTTTCTTGGCTAGGTTTTTTCAGAAGTGGTTTGCCATGGCCTCCTTCCTAGGACTTAGAAAAAGCCCAACGTCATCTAGCTGGCTTTGTGCCTAGGCGGGACTAGAACTCACGGTCTCCTGGTTTCCAGCCCGGTGCCTTAGCCACTTACAGTATACCAAACTGGCTCTCATGGTTATAAAACGCAAATCATATGATGAGATTCTTTGCTCATAAGAGAAGGATCAGTCTATATCTAACTCTTCAAAATCACCCCTCCCAAAATGTAGCCACTTTAAGTCTCAGTTGTCATCCTGAAGTCTTTGGGACATGTTTGTAAACATACAGAAGACATTCCCACCAGGGTATTTGCAGACTCTGCTTCGAAGATCTAAGGAAGACCTTAAAGCAGCCGCCCCAAGCCTTCGAACTGTGAGACTGCTTCACAGCTTTGAGAAATGGAGCAGCACTTAAAACATGGCATGATTTGTACAGATCTCCTATTCAGTATGTTGTGGTCCCTCTGCCGGTAATGTTAACAGCCCAATCCAAGTGCAGCTTCCTCACTGAGAGGTTGCACATTTGCCAGGAGTTGAGGTTGATTCCTCTGCTGCTGGCTCATGAAATCCTCCTGCAAAGGTGTTTGCCCCCCACCTCTGATCATAATTACACTGAGTGGCAGAAGCTGGCAAGAGTTGTCTTTGGTAAAGCTAAGGAAGGAAAGAGAGAGTGGGGGAATGAAGAATGGAAGGGGAAGGGGAAGGGGAAGGGG